TCAGGCGAGAAAGTCGTTTTTCCCCTCCACCAGCCTCCTCATCTCCCCCACTCTTCCCTCCTCATATTTTCCTCTCTTCTAGACCGTGCATTTTCCTCGGCCCCGTGTCCCTCCTCCACCTTGTGTCATCTTGGATAGTATCTCCGACAGACGAATTGATGGTGTGGGCTCAGGGAAGAGAAATGCTGAGGGGGAGGTTGGAGGATGAGTGGGAAGGGAGGGGCGCAACCATTGAGCAGATGAGGAAGGAGAAGAGGCGCGGCGAATAGATGACGAACAAAAGGGGGGGGAACCAGACGGAGGGGCGGGATGAAGGAGGCCGAGTGGGGGAAGGGTGGGGCGGGGGCATGAGGGGCAGGAGGGAGCGGGACGCCGACGAAGGAGGCCGAGGAGGGAGCGGGAGGCCGACAGGAACCATAAACCGTAGGCAATAACAAAAACACGACCAGGTCCTCTGAAAAGGATACTCTTCGGGCGGGACGCCCAGCAGGTGCAGGATGTACTGCATGCGGCCCCTGTCGCGGCCCAGGCAGCCAGTCATTGCCTCGGTGGGGCACCGCATCCCCTGCTACTCATCCTGCGTTGCATGCACATCGGGAGACATCAAATTGCGCCCAGCAGTGGCGACGCTGGCTGCCCAAACGGATCCAAAAAAACGAATTACCGTCGCCATATTCATCTTCCTCCTTCTCCTCGAACACCTCCCCCCACCTACTCCATCCACATTCCCTACATCTTCTACATTTACCTCCTCGCCCTGCCCCTCCTTCACCTCATCCATCGCCCTCTTCCTTCTCCTCGAAGCCCTTGTCCTCCGACCCCTCCTCGCCCATCTCGTGCTTCTGCTCCCCGCAGCCGACGTCGTCGTCGGCGAGGCCGCCACCGCTGTCGAAGCCATCCCTCGTCGCCTGACGTCGGCGCACCCCGTTGTCCCTGATCCTCCGCAGATGCTTGAGGACGCAGCTGACTTTGTCGGCCATGGAGCCCGCCCGCTTGACCAGCGGGCCAGCGGGCTCCTTCCCGACGGTGGGGTGCCTTGGGCACCATGGTCGTCGCCGTCTTCGTCCACGCCATCGTCGTCGCTGTACGTTTGACGCCGCCGCCTCGTCCACTCGACATCAGCAAGCGCAGAAACAGACCCAGCACAAGGACGAGGAGGGGGCCAATGGCTGGAGAGAAGGCGGGGGACGGGTGGACGGATGACATGTGAGGAGCGGGAAGGAGGACGTCGCATACACGTGAGGATGGTGCGCCGTAAACTCAAGAATTTGAGATCTGAAGATGGCCTGTCGACAGACCATCTTCAGATCGCATTATCGGCGTTCTCGGACTGAAGATGATCTGTCGACAGACCATCTTCAGATCGCGTTCCCCGCGTTCTCGGTCTGAAGATGATCTGTCGACAGACCATCTTCAGATCGCATTCTCGGTGTTCTGGGTCTGAAGATGGTCTGTCGACAGACCATCTTCAGATCGCATTCTCGGCGTTCTGGGTCTGAAGATGGTCTGTCGACAGACCATCTTCAGGTCACATTCTGGGCCTTCGCGCCCTGAAGAGAGGAGGGGGAGGAGGAGGAGGAGGAGGAGGAGGAGGAGAAGGAGACGGAGAATGAGGAGGAGGAGAAGGAGGAGGATGGGGAAGGAGGGGGAGGAGAAGGGTGATGAGGAGGGAGGGGGGGGGAGGAGGAGGAGGAGGAGGAGGAGGAGGAAGCTGAGGATGAGGAGGAGGCGGATGAGGAGGAGGAGGAGGAAGAGGAGGATGAGGGGGAGGAGGAGGAGGAGGAGGAGGAGGACGACGAGCAGAGAAAGGGAGGGAGGGAGGGAGGGACCGAGGGAGGGAGGGAAGGAGGGCTGGCGGGCGGGAGGGAGGGAGGAGGCATAGAGAGAGGGAGGGAGGGAGGGGAGGTGGGGAGGGAGGAAAGGACGGATGGAGGGAGGGAGGAGAAGGAGGGGCGAGAGGATGAGAGGAAATATTGGGGAGAGGGCTGGGGCGAGGAGGGGGGATGTCGTCCTCCCGCCCTCGCCTCCATCCAAGCCCCGCACGCGCGCTCCCTCATTCGTCTCACTCCTTGCTCCCTCAACGAACGCCTTCCTCTCGGCACCCCCCCCGCTCTCCCTTATGACGTGTACTCAGCTCGAATCCACCCTCTCCTGATTCCTCCATCTCCTTCCACTTTGCCAGCGGCTTCTTCGATTCCCTATGTTTATCCTCCCTCTGTGATCCTACTCCAAAGCTTCTTCCTATTGTTACCCATGACCTCGGATCCCTCCTGGCTCTTCTCCCTTTCCTCCTGCATATCGTTATTTTAATCCACCCCCCTCCTGCTCCTCCTATTTCTCCTCCTCCTGCTAGTCGCCGCGGGGGGCCGCGGGCGCCTCTCTAGCACCGCCTCGAGGCCCGTCCGCAAGGCGCAGAAGCTGATGTCGGCCTCTGGGCTCTGGCGGATGAGCACTTCTACCTGGGCTTATCAGAATGGCAATCTCCTCCTCTTCCTCCCTCCCCTCCCCCTCCCCCTCCTCCTCCTCCTCCTCCTCCTCCTCCTCCTCCTCCGCCTCATCCCCCTCTAGTTGTTAAGCAGACAGATTTCTGTCCCAGGGGATAACCACATGCGAACAAAACGCTTCAACATTACCTCCCCCGAAAGCATGAACGATCCTCGTCCTGGAAACAAACAAGTTGGATTCGCCGCCTCCTTCTCCAGTTGCTCCTGTTCCTCTTTGGCTCCTGCCCTTTCTCCTCCCACCCTGGCGAAAGGTCATCCATGCCGAAAGGTTGGCGGACGGAGGGGGGCATGATTTGAAGCCGCGGCCCACCAGGGATTCCATGGCGCACAAGCTCGGGGCGTGGACCGCATGGTCCTTGTGTAGAAAGTGATAGTGGCCCAGCGGAAAAGCTGCCTTCACCCCCTCCCCCTCCGCGTAATCCAGGAAAGCTTGCCCGAGATCGGAGACCACGTCGAGAGAGGCACTCGACATCGGGGAGGGGGTGAAGGCCTTGCACAGCACGCAAGGGAAAGGGGCGGTCCGCCCTGCGCCAAAATGGCTTAGCGGGGCACGCGTTGCATCGTTCCTCCTGCTCCCGCTAATCATGCCCCGTGCCCGCCATCCTAATCATGCTTCCAACTCCGTCATGCCTCCTCCTCCTCCTCCTCCTCCTCCACCCCTTCCTCCTCCCTGCCTCCTCCCTGCCCCCTCCTGGTTCCATTCGCCCGCCATCATGTTTAACGTCGTCCGCGTCGTCAGGGCCGTTTATCGTCCACGTCATCAAATCACATTCTGACATCACCATCTGCATCATTTTTGAAGCGTGCCACCTTTACAGGAGCGTGGCCGCCACGAAGATCATGGGCTCCAACGGGGACGGATAGTATTCCTCGTACTTGTTAGAAGGTTGTGAATTGCGGGCAGGGCGAAACATTCTTTTCTGGCAAATCCAGGCCAACGCAAACGCAAATCGAAGCCATGTCCGATGGGAGTTCAACAAAACAATATATGCCACAATGGACGGCATGTCGAATTTCACATCCAGGGCACCCCGTGATGACCCCATAGCTCCACCACAGGCGTAGCATCACTACCATGGAGCGTCCAGGCACACCATCCCAAACAACCAACATATTTCTTGACATCTCGCACACTGGGGGTAGGCATATCGAACGGCAATGAAAGAACGTGCCCGCGAGGTCGCTGGGGACCTTGAAAGCCTGGGGAACCCAGTGGCGCTGGTTTGAGCGACTGGTGAAGAAAGGCAAGGGGTCGGGGTACGGTTCGGGGCGGGGTGGAAGCCTCGGGGGGGGACTCCTCCGAGGCATCGTGATAGCTTGAGCCTCAAAACTGCAGCGACATCATCAGCAGCATCATCGTCGTCATCGTTAGCTGTACCATCAACATTGTTCTAGTTGCCGTCATCTTCGTTATGAGTGAGGACCTGAATGCGTCGTCATTGGCGCTTGTTTGTCCGATCCTGGCCAACGCAGTCATTATCGTCATCCTCATCATCCTCATCATCGTCGTAGTCAATATGGGCATCGTGGTTACTGTACTCCGAGTTAAGCTAATCCTCGTTTCCCTCGTCATCCTCATCCTCATCCGCCATGGAATGCCCGTCTCAGGACTACCCTTCTTGGCCGTTCGCTTCCTCCTAGATACTTCGTGCGTTCATCCTGACCCATGTCCCAAGTCGACTCTCCTCCGTGCCTCCTTCCCTCCCATCCAAGCCCGCATCCCGACAGACCTACAACTTTTTCGTCACCCCATGAACTCACCAATCGAACCTTGGTTCATCTCGAGACACCAATCATCTTCAGATCATCTTCAGACCCTTCCTTCCTCCAACCTTGAATCATGTTCAGACCACCACCTTCCCCCGCGACCGATCGCGACCGATCGCGACCGACGCGCGACCGATGCGCGACCGACGCGCGACCGACACGCGACCGACCGCGACCGACGAGTCGGTCGCGACCGAACGCGACCGAAACGACCGAAACGACCGACCGCGACCGAAGCGCGACCGTCGCGACCGGTCGCGCCTGGATTTCTTCGGGATTCAATGATCAGGGACCCCCCGAGCCGGTCCCCCCCCCGGCCCCCCCACGTGTCCGTTCCCCTCCCGGATGCCCCCAGCTCCGCCCTCGCCCACCCTTCCACCAGGGGATCGACTACAGGATTGATTTACCCCAGGATTGAATTCAACGTCGAACCTCCACCAAAAATACGTAGCATGTTCGAAGATCTGCGGAAATGCTACGAGATTTCCGTGGATTCGACGAGAGACATCAGGTCCGGGGCAAGCATCACTTCTGTAGTCGATCTCGACTCGAACCCTGGTGGGGGGCCACAGGCGAACCCTACCCCTGCCCCCCACGATTTCTGAGGGGGAGGGTGGGGTTCACTTCGCTCGGGAGCTCCCGAACGAAGTGAACCCCACCCTCCCCCTCAGAAATCGTGGGGGGCAGGGGTAGGGTTCGCCTGTGGCCCCCTGCTTGGGGCGCGCGCAGGCAGTGCCTGCGCTGGGAGCAGGGCCCGGACGGCTGCGCCGGCATCGCGGACAGGCCCGCCGCCCCGCCTCCGCGTCCCCGCCGGCGGGGGCCCGCCGGCCAGGTGCCACATCGCCCACCATGGGCGCTGCGGGAGCCCAGGCGAGGGCCGAGGATCGAAGGCCGAGGGTGTGGGCCCAGACATGACCGCGTCGTGACAGAATCCGGGCGGCGGGTGTTCGGCTGTTTTCGGCCCCGCGGGGCCCTCGCCGGGCTGCGGGGCCGTCAAAAAGAACGACTCGGGATAAAAAGCTGGTCCCGGGGAAAGGGGCGGGACTTCTGGGACGCCGTCCTGGAAAAATCAGAACGTCACATGTCTGGGGGATCGAATTCTGAAATGTTGTTCGTTCTTGTGGGGCCTCCAGGGGGCTCCTCCTCGCGCCTGGCTGGATCCGCTTCGGAATTCTGGCCAAAACGCACCCTGGAACAGGTCCGGGCATCGATGCTTCAGCTCACCCCCAGACCCTGACATGCGATCGCGCCGTGAAGAGACCGTGACGGGACTGGATTGAACGCCTCCGGGGGCCTCAGCTGGGACCTGCTGGACTGGCAAAACCTGGAGTCTGGAGGAGACGCCGTTCCTGGGAATGTGGCCGAGACCTCTCGGCCACCTGCAGAGGGGGGGGGGCCGCAAGAACCTTCCAGTTCTCGGGGGTAGCGCGGAACAAATAGCAGCGCCGGCGCAGGGGAGGCAGAGGACCGTGCAAGGCGGGATTTTTGGGAGGGTTCAGGGCTATCAGGACATCGGACGACATTCTGAAATTCGATATTGTGGTTGAACGGAGCGCGAGCGTTGCTCGAGAAGTTGCTTGGGTGTTGATTCTACCTTCTGTGCAACAGCGTGCCCATGCGTGCGATGACTGCGCCGTGGTGGCCATCACTGCGATCAATGGCACAACACTTGCGTTGACAAGGGGCCTCTCGCGCGAAGTGGGGTCGGTCGCGGCATCGATGGGCTACCTCGGTGGATGAGTTCCTCTTGTAATTCCAGTCAGTATCCCCTCCTCCTCCTCTCCTCCCTCCTCCTCCTCCTCCTTCTTCTTCCTCCTCGGCTCCTTCTTCCTCCTCCGCCTCCTCCTCCGCCTCCTCCTCCTCTTGTCTCGCAGCCCGTCTTCTGCTTCACAGTCGGGCGCTGCACGTTCTGCTTCACAGTGGTGTCGCGTTCCTTTTTCCGTTCCTCTAGCCATAGTCCCCGAAAGGTTGCCAAACGCGCGCTCTTCTGGTTCGCGCGTCATTGCCCAGCAGCGGTGGGTTCTGGATGAATTCCAGGCAGCCTCGCGTAAGCACTAAACATATCGAGGACGCCGGCGGCGCACTGGCCGCTCTCGGAGGTTGATGAAGTAGCGCGCAGCATCGAGAGTCGTGATGCAGCGCGCATGCCATCTGTGCGTGCCGGGGGGGACCTGAAGGCTTAATTAGAGTATCGAGTGGCTTGCGTCCCATTCTGCCACCGTGCCTAGGCTGTAAGTCGGGATACCTGTTGGGATCTCTTGGAAGGCTTTTCGGATGCCTCCTGGAGGCGGTTGTTGAGATGTCCTGGGGTCTCTCGGGGCCTCTTGGGTGTCTCCTGGGATCTGATTTGGGCCTCTGGGGGGCCTCCTGGGGCTTCTGGAGGGTCCCTTGGGGGCCTGATGGCGGTCTCGGGTGCCACCTTGGGGCAGAGAGCGTGAGATGTCACTTCGAATTTCCCCTCTTGGGTACATCTTGGGGCCATTCTGGGGCCGTTGTGGGGGCCTCTTGGGCCGTCTGGGGGTTCTCTTGGGGTTTTCTTGGGGGCTGTCTTGTGGCGATCTTGGATGCCCCTTGGGCCGTCTTGGAGCGTCTGAAGCGTCTGAAGCCGGAAAGGGCGAGCACGCTAAAATCGTTCAAAAACCGAAGGCCAATCAATGATTTGGGCCTCTGGGGGCCCTCGTTGGGGTTCTCTTCGAGGCCTCTTGGACGTCCCGAGCCTCTCCGGCCGTCTTCGAACCATCGTGGGCCGTCTTGGAGCGATTTGGAACCGTCTCGAGGCGCTCTTGGACCATGTTGGGCGCCTGTGAGGGCTCTCTTAAGCCGTCTCGGGGCTCACTTGGGTTGTCTTGGGGCCCTTTGGGACCGCTTGCAACCTGGAGGCCAGGGGGGTCTGCGATGGACCGCCGACAGAGTGGCGAGCTATTGGAGGGGTTGAGGGACAACAGTCTGGGCCTTGGCCTCCCAGATGGGGTCGCAGTAGATGGGGTCGGAGCATCGCGCCGCATTGCGGCCGCGGCCACTGGGGCCTTCAGTGGAGTTCCCTGTGGGGCCACTGAGCAGTGTACTGGGTGGGGGAGACACATGCGGCCGTGGCCATTGGGGCCTGTGGTGGGACTCCCTCTGGGGCCACGAAGCGGTGAACTAGGTGGGGGCGGTGCATGCCGACGCAGCCATTGGGGCCTCTAGTGTAGCTCCCTATGGGGCCACGAAGCGCTGTACTGGGTGGGGGCGGCACATGCGGACGCGGCCGCTGGGGCCAGGGGAGGAGCTCCTCATGGGGCCACGATACGCTTCACTGAGTTGGGGGGGAGGCGCATGCGATCTTTGCTACGCGGGCCTTCGGTGGAGCTCCTCATGGGACCACGAAGCATTGTACTGGGCGGGGGGGACGCGTGCGATCTTTGCCACTTGGGCTTCCGGTGGAGCACCCATATGAGGCACGATATGAGGCACGAAGCGCTGTCTTGGGTGGGGGGGACGCATGCGGCCGCGGCCGTTGGGGCCTTTGGTGGAACTCCTTCTGGGGTACGAAGCGCTGTTTTGGGTTGGGCAGACGCATGCGAACGCGGCTACTGTGGCCTTCAGTGTAGCTTCCTATGTGGCCACGGATCGATGTACTGGGTGGGGTAGGCGAATGCGGACGCGGTCATTGGGGCCTTCGGTGGAGCTCCTCATGGGGCCACGACGCGCTGTAGTGAGTTGGAGGGGCGCGCGCGAACTTTGCCATTGGGGCTTTCAGTGCCCTTGTGGGGCTACGACGCGCCGTACTGGGCGGGGGGGGGGGCGCATGCGAACTTTGCCATTGGGGCCCTTGGTGGAGCTCCCTATGGGGCCACGAAGCGCTGTATTTGGCGTGGACGCATGCGAGCTTTGCCACTGGGGCCGTCGGTGGAGCGTCCTACGGGGTCACAGAACGTGTCAGAGGTGTACCGAAACGGTTGACATGCGAAGGGTAGAGCCAGGGAGGGGGAAGAGGGAGGAGGAGGAGGAGGTGGAGGATGAGAGGAAGAGGCGCGGGGACTGCCTCTTCAAAACGATGGCCCAACGCCACAGGATGGCTGGGAAACACACACACAACTTGCTGTTCGATCCCTGCATTCTTCTGGAACCTCGTCGCCGTCGTTTCGTCGGGCCTGGTCTTCGTCGCGAGCGCGTGGCCAGCCCTCGCCCTCGACGCCCGGGCGGCCCCGACCTGGCCCAGGCGGGCGGCGGGCGCGGGCGCAGCGCGCGGGCGCAGCGCGCGGGCGCTCCGGAAGTTTGCATGCTGCGTTGCGCAGTGCGGCTCCGCCCGGGTGCATCCGCAGCCCCAGGACTGCAGGGCCGCTGCAACGTAGAGAGTCACCTCGGGGGGGGGGGGTGGGGCAGCATGCCGAAAGCACACGCGCCGATCCGTGACTTGTCCGCGTTCGGGTCTCGAGAGGCTGCGCCGCGGTCGTCGTTGTCCAGGCTCGCGCCCGCCAGGTTTGGGCCCGAGGTCGCTCTCGCGAAGCCGCGTCTTACGAGAGGGGGCTCTGTCCGTCCCCCGAGAGGGGGGCCTCTCTGATTCACATCGTGCCGGGACCGCTGCGGCCCCACGGCGGGGGGGGGGGCGAGGGCCCGGCCCCAGCCCCCGGTCGCCCTCCGCCCTCGCTCCCCGAGCCCCAAGTTTCGGGCAGGGAGCGCAGTGGGCTCCCACGGGCCCTGATGATTCGGTTCCTCCTCCTCCTCCTCCTCCTCCTCCTCCTCCTCCTCCTCCTCCTCCTCCTCCTCGGCAAGGGCCGCTGGTGTCCAGGGGATAGCCATATAGTGTAATGCGTGGCTCTCTTGGGGGCGGGGCCTAGCCGCGCCTGTCAACGGAGCCATTGGATGGTCCGATCCTTCGGGAGGGAGTCCAGGTGGCTTCCAGGCATCCTAATGGGGTCGCCGTGGATGGGGTCGGAGGATTGTGCCGCATCGCCGATACATCGCCGATGCGGCTCGATGTGGGGTCCGATATGCTTCACGTCGACCTCGCCGATGCATCGCCGACGTCTACCTATGCATCGCCATCTACTCCGACCCCATCTACTCCGACCCCATCTGGGGGGCCTCTATCGATCACCGTGGGCCATGCCAGCCGTGAGTTTCCCATTCTGCTTGCGCGTTCGGGAGGGGTAACAAAGGCGCTTCGGGAGGTCGAGTGACGTGCCTGGTAGACCTGCGAGGATAATCATCAAGTGGATCTCAAGAAAATTGAGGCGTGTGCATTCCACAAGGATTTCGCGTGGAGAACTGCGCTGCGCTTGAAGTTCCAAGGCAACACTGTCGAGCCCAAACGAACAAAACAGTCAGCAAGACACCCATGGGAATCTAAAGATCTTTCATATTGAAATTCGCCGGGGGTCGTTGGAAGACCCGAAGAGCTTCTCGGTTAAATGCGCGGATGCGGTCCGTGCGAAATGAGCAGAGTTTGCGCCGCGAAGTGCTCGTGCACCCCGTGCGGTCTTGTCCTTCGAAGTCTCGTGCCGTCTTGAGGTCCTCTGGAGAGGTATTGGGGCCGTGGGCGCATCGTTGGCCATGTTGGGCCATTTGCGCGCGGTCACTGTGCCATTCGGGGGGCCTCTGCGGCCGTCTGGTTCGGGAGCGAAGGCCAGAGAAAGCGAGAACGCAAACATCAGTTCACAACCGCATTGAATACAACATCTCCAATCCGGCTTCATCGGGAGTTCTTGCATGCCCTGCTTCCTAACAGGGGATTGCCCAGGATTCTACATTCCCTGGGTTCTTGGGTCTTGGTTCCTTGGGTTTCTTGCTGTTGGTTCCTT